TACTTGAGTGGTCTCTGAGGCAAGAGGATCAGGAGTTCAAGGCCTTAGCTGCATAAGGAGTCTGAGGTCAGCCTGGGCTACATGAGACCCTGTCTACTATCAACCCTCCACCATTAAAATAAAACAAAAACCTCTAAACAGAAATACAGGTCTACAGCTAACACAATTGTCAATGGCAAAGACTGGAAGCTTTTCCATCTCGGTCAGGTTCGAGGTAACAATGCCCACTTCTGTGGTTTCTATTCAAGTAAGAGTTCTAACAAAAACAAAGAAAAACAAATGGGAGAAGAAAAGTTTGTATGCTGATGACAGGACCTTGAACGCAGATAAACTGAATTCCACACAACTATTAGAATAAACACAAATCAAAAAATCAAATCTTCAGATGAAAATATGCAAAGATAAGCTACATAATACTTTTTTAGTCAGTCTCACTAGGTAGACCACTAGGTAGGCTGGCCTTGAACTCACAGAAATCCACCTGCTTGAATCTGTCTCCTAAGTGCTTGGATTAAAAGCATGTGCCACTATGCCTGGCAAAATGGTATACTCTTTTCACTATTAATATTAATTTCTTAATTTTTTAAAAAATTTTGAGATTGTAGTTTAATCACATACCCCTGCCTACTCTCCTTCAAATTCATGGCATCTTTTCTGTTACTTGTTATTACATACATACATACATACATACATACATACATACATATTTGGTTTTTGTTTCTCAAGACAGTGTTCTTCTGAGTAATGAAAGAACATAAAATTTTACATTTTCACTGGGCAGTGGTGGCACATGCCTTTAATCCCAGCACTTGGGAGGCAGAGGTAGGCAGATCTCTGTGAGTTCGAGGCCAGCCTGGTCTACCAAGTGAGTTCTAGGACAGGCTACAAAGATATACACAGAAACCCTGTCTCAAAAAATACAAAACCCAACAAAACAAAACAAAAAATTCCATTTTCACTATTGTCTGGCTAGTTTTATGTCAACTTGATACAAGTTATAAGAGGAACCTTTTAGAATGGACCTCAGCTGAGGAAATGCCCCCAGCAGATTGGCATGATTGATGTGGAAGGTCCCAGCTCACTGAGGGTAGTGTCACTTCTAGGTAGGTGCTCTGTTGTTTTTAATCTAAATTTATATCTTATGATTTTACCAATCAAGTCTCAGGAGTCAGAGGCTGGGGTGAAAACCTGCTAGCTCAGAGGCTGAGGAGCAACTAGCTGACTGTCCTCCTTAGCTGGTGTGGTAGTTTGAAAGTAACTGCCCCCATAATCTCATAGGGCGTGGCACTATTAGGAGGTGAGACTTCATTGGCGTGGGTATGACCTTGTTGGGGGAAGTGTGTCACCGTGAGGGTGGGCTTTGAGGTGTCCTAATCTCAAGATACCAAGTGAGTCAGTTGACTTCCTGTTGCCTGCAAGTTGTAGTATTCTCAGCTATTTCTCCAGCACCATATCTGCCTGCATGCTGCCATGCTCCCCACCATGATGGACTGAACCTCTGAAACTGTAAGCAAGCCACCTCAGTCAAATGTTTTCTTTATAAGGGCTGCTGTGGTCATGGTGTCTTTTCACAGCAATAGAAACCCTAAGACAGCCGGTGTCTCATAAAGAGATTTCCCATTGTCCCAGTCCAAAAGGAACCACCACTCTATCTCTTTGATTTCCTTTGTGTTTCTGTCTTCCAGACCCCCTCTAAGGCTACTTCCTGTCAACTGGCCACTGGCTCTGCCTCCTGACCTCAGGTTTTTATTTAATTAGCACAATCTTGGGGCTCACAGTGTGATCAAACATCCCACAATGGTGGTCCTTGGTGCTATAAGACAGGCTGAGCAAACCATGGGGAGCAAGCCAGTAAGCAGCACTCCTCCATGGCCACTGCAACAAATCCTGCCTCCAGGCTGCTGCCCTAACTTACCTTAGTGATGAACTGTTACCTGCAAGCGTAGGCACATTAAACCATTTCCTTCCCAGTTTGCCTTCGGTCATGGTGTTCATCACCATAATAGAAACCCTAAGGCACTATTTTACTTTTCTAATTCCCCGTGTTATACAACTCTTAACCTATTTCCATATTTTCCACTCTTTCGTCTTTTCTTCTTGGTTTTGTTTGTTTTGTTTTGAGATAAGGTTTCTCTGTGCAACAGTTCTGGCCGTCCTGGAACTTGATTGTAGTCCAGGCTAGCCTCGAACCCACAAAGATCTACCTGCCTCTGTGCTGGGATTAAAGGCGTGCACCACCACCACCTGGCTTTTCCATCCTTTCCAACTCTTTTTTTCTCTCTTTTATAATGGTCCTTAGTACATTTTCATGTTCTTTTGGTCTCTATGCAGCTGTCTCTGAGAGAATGCTTTTGAGTAGAATTGCACAGTATTTGCTATTTTGTCTGTTTCACTTAGCATAATGTGAATGCCCTGGGAGGTCAGAGGCATTTATATCCCCCTGGACCTGGAATTGCAGGCAGCTGCGAGCCAACCAACGTGGACTCTAGGAATCGAGCCTGGGTACTTTGCAAGAACACTCCACCCTCCACCCCCCAACATAACATTTTATTAATCATTTGGAAATTATGTACAGTGCACCCCATCACACTCACTTCCCATTCCTCCCCGGTCCACCCTTCCACCCTGGCACCCGACTCTTCCCCCCCCAAAATACCCCCAAGTCCAATTTGTGTTGCCCACGTATTAACTGCAGCATGGTCGAACTCCCAGGGGCTAGCCCCGAAAACCGAGCGCCCCCCCCCCCCCCCCAGAAGCCATCAGTGATGAAGGGCTACACTTCAGCATCTTCATCAGTTTTATTTCTAAGGGCTCTCTTTGGTAGCTTCTGGTCTGGACTGTTTCTTCTTAGGTGTGTGTGGGGTGGGGTGGAGGTTGTCACAGAATCCTTCAGTGTCTCTCAGTCTTGGTTATGAGTCTGCAGTCATTGAGACCACTGCAAAAGAAGCTTCTTGCTGTAGCAGGCAGCAGCAGCACAGACCATGGACTTTTCCAGTGAAGGCCTTTCTAAAAGGCCCAGCATGGCAAAGAGGGCAACAACAGATTTTGTCGTTTTCCAACTTGCACTCTCTTGCTAAAAACCCTTAGATTACATTCTGACAGCTAGCCCCCAAGTTCCACTCCTTTATTTGGCTACTGACTCCTTCCTAAGACAAAACACCAAGGTCTAACAATCAGAATTCATTATTTGGCTAACATATCTAATGAGGATTTAGCACCTCACCCTAACAGAGACTCCCCCTTTTTCTTCTTAGAAACTCACTCCTGCAAAACACTGCTAATGCTTGCAGTCTGCCTCTGCCTGATCTAGAGGCAACCCCCCGACCCCCAGGATAACAAATCTCCTTTGTGTGGAGAATTTGCCTGGGTCTGTCCTGCACCATCTTGTGTGTGTGTGGGTCATCCTCTCTTACACTCATGGTTTCAGGCGGCTGCATGGATTGTGGATGGACTTCAATAAAGTTTCCTGTGTCAGCTCAGGTCACATACATCAACCTGGTCCCAGTGGCGGCATGGACCTCGGACATCGATCGACATGGCTTCTGGTGGCAGCAGAGAATATGGGAATCAACACTGTCTATTGCAGCAGCATGGACCAAGGAAGTCTCTCAAGGAGACAGTCCAGAAAATGAACCAGTCCTCACTCCGGATGCCTTGTTGTTCAGAGCTGGCATGCTGGGAAGCATGTCTGGGGGAAGACTGACAGAGCTGTAGGCTGCTGTACACAAGAGGCTGCCACACCCAGCAGAACCATTAGTTATTAGATTTATTCATTTTATTTTTAGTGTTTTGCCTGCATGCCATGTCATGTAGCCTATGCTGGCCTCAAACTTTCTGTGTTGTGGAGGGTGACCTAAAAATCCTAACCCTTCTGCCTTCGTTTCCCAAAGGCTGGAATCACAGGTATGAGCCACCACAACTGGCACTAAGTTGCTTTCTGATTATCTGTCTCTAAGAGTATGCAACTTTGACCAATAGGTGTGAATGGAACATGAATGACGCCAACGAACATGCCAGACTGCACGGCGAAAAGCCCACGAGGCCTCAACCCTACACAAAGAACTGCAGGCAAATGATTAAAGCTAAGAGTAGGGGTGGGGTTCTTCCCAGAGCACACCAACTGTTTGTCCAGTGCCAAACAATCCTCTATGAAAATAAACATACAACAAGTAACATACGGACTTGACAGCTTATATTTAGGAATATACATATGTATATACAAACAAGGACATGTATGTGGCCAGGCATAGTGGCACACACCTTTAATCCCAGCACTCAGAGGCAAAGGCAGGCAGATCCCTGAGTTGAGGCTATTCTGGTCTATAGAGCAAGTTCTAGGACAATCAGAACTACACAGAGAAATCCTGTCTTGAAAAAACAAAATAAAATAAAGCGGAGAATATAGGAATATAGAATATAGGAATATAGGAAGATACCTGATGTGACACTGATCTCTGATTTACACCTGTACATACATGGGAAGTGTATGAACACACACACAATCCTGCATGTCCCCCTCCCTAAATACATACACACACACAATGAAGAACTCAAGACTAGTTATTATACCACAGATTACTTCAGTATGCGCCCACAATCCTGTGAAGAAAATATACTCACTTGGGGGCTCCATTGCCAGCATCACAACCATAGCAGTCCTTGTGTTGACCAAGTTACATTAGGTTTATTATTATTATTTTTGTGTTTTGAGACAGGATTTTCTGTGTAGTGCTGGCTGTCCAGGAACTCATTCTGTAGACCAGGCTAGACTCAAATAGAGATCCACCTGTCTTTGCCTCCCAAGTGCTGGGATTAAAGGTGTGCAACACTACTGCATGGCTTTATATCAGGCTTATTTTAATTTAAGACAAGAGTCAAAGACTTGACCATTGAAAACATCATCAGATTGCTGGGATAAGTAGAACTCAACGAGGAACTGAACACTGTGAGTGCAGCAAGATGAACACCTCGGAGATGCACATGAGAAAGAGGCCAACTGCTCATCTACAAAAACCTCTTCTAGTCTTTATTAACATTTGGAGATGCGTGGTACATATGATTAACAGCATCACACCAGGAGGGAAGTACAGATAACCGAAAATGTTCTCCAGAACAGGATCCCAGAGCAGTTCAGTATTGCCTGCTCTCCACCTCCACAAGAATTCAGCTCTGATACAGGCAGCTCAGACAATGTAATAACATCTCTTGGAAATGGTTCTTTTGAAAAGAAATGATAACTGGTCGCTGGAACCCTTCTGTGTGAGATGCGGCAGCTCTCCGGTGCTGTGGCACCACCGTAGAAGGCCATTTTGGGCACTGGACGGTCAAAGAGAAGAACTGACTGGAGTGAGAAGAGGTTTTATGTTTAGTCTAGAGATAACAGATTGTCCAAGTGGATACCTTCAGTCCAGGCTCAGTTCAGGCCCTGCAGGAATCCACTGATAAATACAGTCTATGGACTGGGAGGCTGAAAACTCAGCTGGCCGTCTGTCACCGAGTATCAGGAGTTGCTGAAGACAGAGGTGCAACAGGCATGTACCTGGAGGAAGGAGGACTCCCCATGTCAGTCCAGCTCTGATCCTTCTGTGCACCAGCTCTGCTTCCTCAGCTGAATGAGGAAAACTCCTGTTTTCAATGCTCCATTGTGAAAGCAGCCAAGCCCTCTTCCCCTCCCCCCGAATCACCATTCTTCATAAATTGTTTCCAAGTCCTGATTCTTCTAGGTCTACACCTTTTCCTTTCGCTTCAATTTTGACACTTTCTTGACAGTCCCGTTCTTGTTGAGGAGCTTCAGGACCCGATCTTTGTGATCCAAAACCTTAAGCATAGAGTCTCTGGCCTCACTGATTTGGTCCATCACTAGTTTACACCTCTGCATGTTTCCCTGGAACAGAAGGCACACCATTACCTAGATGTCATGGGTGAGACGGCTTTTAGAGAACTGTTCACTCAGGGCCGAGCATTCCACAGAGAACAAAGGTTGACTATTTTGTCCCTTTCTTGGCCAGGGAGGCCCAAGGCCCCCACTAGAACTAATTTTAAGACCTTGTTGCTAAAGATGCTGTATGACTTGTTAAGAGGATAAAGGGAAAGCAGGCTGGCAGTGGATTTCTTCTTGCTGGCTAGCCCTCCTGTGCTGGGAGAACTGCTATCAATAGTTAGTTCCTTAAGCCTTACTCCTCTGGTGGACCCTGTGTGCGACACTACCAACTGGCCAGGCCAAGGGAACTTTCTGGTGCCATAGTGGCCAGTCTGTTCTAGGGGTAAAGAACTGCTTCTGGTTGGATCTGTGGTGGCTCCTCAGGAGGGAATCCACGTCTGATACCAAGCAGAAGCCTGTGGCTCCCTGGTATGGGGCACAGACATATTTTTGTAAATACCACCCATGCGCCTTTTAAAAAACACTAATTAAATTAAACTCAAGAGGTCACTGGGAAAAACAAAGACATTAATGTAGAAAGAAGACTAAACAGGAAGAAGGGATCAGTGGGAGGGAGACAAAAGAAGATAACATGAGTTCGAGGCCAGCCTGGTCTACAGAGTGAGATCCAGGACAGGCACCAAAACTACACAGAGAAACTCTGTCTCAAAAAAACCAACCAACCAACCAACCTCCCCACACCCCCCAAAAAGAGAAACATGGTGGGAGAGATTGCTCAGCAGCTACCAGTGCTTGCTGTTCGTTAAGAGGAACTGAATTTGGTTTCCAGTCACGTTGGTGCTCACAACTGTTTGTAATTTTAGTTCCAGGGCATCCAACACCCTCTTCTGGTCTCTGCAGATACCTGCATGCATGTGGCATAATATATATAATATACGTATGTATGTGTATATATGTGTGTGCATATATATATAAAAGTAGAAAAATTAAAGTTAACAAAAAAATGGCTGAGCACCTCCTGGTAATGCACACTGAAGCAAATAAGTTTGTACAAAAAACACTCTTGTAGTGGGGAAAGGTATATGGGAGAGTTTGGAAAGAGAAAAAGGAAGATAGAAATGTTGCCATTAAAATATAATCTAACTAAACAAACAAACAAACAAACAAACAAATGAAGGGGAAAGGAAGAAGCAGCAGCAGCTTTGGTGGCCAAGTGGGCACCCAGAAGGTTGAGGACTCAGCAAACCTGTATTAGCTCATTTATTCGATGTAGATCATCATCAGTTGCTGCTTTTTTCTTTGGGATGATCCCTTCCTGTAGGTTGGTAAGTCTTTCATAAACATCATGTTCTAGATTTGTCTGCAACATACAAGAGAAGCACACTGTGACTACAGAGACATCTTCTATGTCACTCTCAAGCAGAGGAAGTTCATTCTGTGAACTGTTCTAAGTGCTTGGATGATAAAGGCCTTGCTTGGACAGACCAAGAGTCTAATATTAAGAAACAGTAAAGGAATGAACTAATAAATACTTTACAATATGTTACAATTTGCCATAGTTCAGAGTCCATCTTCAAAGATCACTTTGAAATACTACACCACATCCATAATTCCCCTGAAAAATAACTATTATTTTTACAGAAATATTTTATATTAATTTAACCCTAGCAACAGTACAATTTTTTTTTTTTGAGTTTCATGTATTTCAGGCTGACCTCAAACCTACCATGTAGCCAAGTATGCCTCTGAACTTTTGATCATACTAAATTACAGACACGTGCCATTACATCCAGTTTATATAGTACTGGGGATCAAACTCAAGCCTCTATATATGCTGGTAAGCTCTCTCCTTACCCCCTTCTAAAGATAAGGCCTTTCTAGGTAGCTCAGGCTGGCCTCTATCACAAAATCCCTTCTACCTCAGCAACACAAATGCTACCACACCTAACACTACTGTGTTTTGATACTCAGTAGAAGATGGTCTTGAGAGCACTGTTACTCCAAAGATGGGAATACTTTGCGAGGATACTCTGGCTGCTTTGCCTTAACTTGGATGGTAAGAGATTTTTGTCCTAGGTTTCTAGGAATGGTGGCTCACAGCGCACATGGGGCCAACACGGGCTCCTCTCAGAACTGAATCAATGTGCAGGCACTGTGGGAGGCAGGCTTTGTAGAGAAGACCCCTGCCTGTTCTCTAAAACAAGATGGCACAGGCCTGCATCCTACCAGGAGCTGGGAGGTCACTGAAGCTTGTTACCTGGTGAGAAGCAAACCGTGTGGTGGCCCATGGCGAAGGAGTTGCTTGGCTCTAGAACCTTCCTAAGGAAGCAGAGTGGTCAGTGGAAAAGGCTCATGGGAAGACCACTCAGCTTCCCGCTTTTCATACGTCCTGACAGGACATAAAGTTAACTTTAGCTCCAGGTCTTACACTACAGCACCTTCATGTAGTTTGGATCCAGGTAATTAAAACTAAAATTCAGGCCTGGATAGATGGCTCAGTGAGTAAAGACACTTCTCCCAAGCATCATGATCGCAGTTTGATCCTCCAGGACTCACATGATAGAAGAGCCTCTACTTCTAAAAGCTGTCCTCTGACTCACCTCCATCAAATAAATAAATAATCATAATCTCCATGCAACAGATGTACTTGCTTTAACTGTGGAACCACAGGTCTGTGTGCCTTTATCACCCCACTTCAGGCAGCTCTGGGGATCAAACCCAGGGCCTACGGTACATCAGACTGGCTACCTACTGGGCTACCTCTTTGGCACGAGACAACAATGGACGGAACTGCACCTACCAGTTGCAGTAACTGGGCAGCACAGAGGTGGACTTTCCAGCCTTGGGCACGGCAGGACACTCCCTTCTGATTGGCTATTTCTTGTAGCATAGCTTTCTTCTCCTCTGGAAACACACCGAGATAAAATGAAGCATCATTCCCTTTGTTACAGAAGCAAAACCACTGGATTCAAGCAGCTTAAGTGTCAATATTTTAACAAAATTTCTTTCCCCAAACATCTTTACAAACAAATCTTCTGCATTTACATCAGGGGGAATAGGGGTCAACGATATGAACAAACTTTCTGTGATAGGATTTCCCTATGTGGTCTCTGTCTGGCCTGGAACTTGCTGTGTAGACCAGGCTGACCTCACACTCACAGAGTTCCACAGGCTTCTTCCTCAAGAGTGCTGGAATTAAAGGAGGCACCTGTGGTACATTATTTTGTTTGTGTTCTGACAAATAAAGCTTGCTTGGAGATCAGAGGGCAGAGCTAGCCACTAATTAACCATAGAAGTAGGGCAGTGGTGGCTCACACCTTTAACCCCAGCACTTGGGAGACTCATGCCTTTAATTGTAGCATCTGGGAGGTGGAGACAGGATCTCGGCCCGTTTGGTCTGAGGATTCAGAAAGGTAAGAAGTCACTGGTGGTGGCTCCTCTGATCTTTCAGGTTATTACCTCGATATTTGACTCCTGTTTTTTATTGATAAGACTAATTAGGTTCATGCTCCAGCACCACTATACCAGCTTCTTTTCTGTATTTTCATCAGTTCCACAAGAAAGCTTTTAAGATGTTCTCTAGTAGGGTGAGATGGCAGGACAGCTAGTTCCTATGGTAATCTCCAAGAGGAGAAATGGTCTTCTGGGAAACTGAGCCTTGTTCTATGTGTGGGGCTTATGTGCAGCTGGAGAGCTGGACCAGAAGTTCTGGAAGCTTTGTGAAGTTACCTATATTTTAAGAGAATTCCTAAGTGTGAACTGTACTTCTTTCTTTTTCCTTTTTTGGTTTTTCGAGACAGGGTTTCTTTGTGTAGCCCCGGCAGTTCTGGAACTCACTCTGTAGACCAGGCTGGCCTCAAACTTGAGAGATCTATCTGCCTGCCTCTGCCTCCCAAATGCTGGGATTAAAAGCGTGTGCCACCACTGCCTGGCTGTATATTGTTTTGAGGTGAACCCACTTTGTTCTACAAGTAATGAAAACAAATTATTTAATTGCCAAATATTAAAACACCAGTGTCCCTCAGCAGGCCTTGAAACGCCGTGTAGTTAAGGCTGATCGTGAACTTTTGATCATCTTGCCTCTACTTCCTGAGTCCTGGGGTTGCAGATGTGTGCTACTCTGTCTGCTTTTATGTAGTGCTAGGAACTGAACCTAGGGATTCTTGCAGGCTAGGCAAGTATTCTACCAACTGAGCTACAGATCTAGAACTTACTAGAAGCCCAGGCTCACTTCCAATTCACAATCTTTCTCAGCTTCCTGAGCACTGGATTAGGCATGTGCCACCATGCATTATCTTTCCACCTGCAGTGGTGTGTACCTACAACCCCAATACTAGAAAGGCTGAGGCAGAAGGATCACAAGTTCAAGGCTAGTCTGGGATAGACAGCAAGGTAGTGTTTCAAACATAAGGTTTTGTTATCAGCCAGGGCCTTGCACATCCTATACATTAATTGACCATTAATCTGCATCCACCACACTTGGTACTGAGTATTTCTCAGCAGGTGTCTGCACTGTCAAGCTACCTTCCTCCTTTCTGGATCATACTTTGAAGATCTCTATGCTTTCAATGGCTACACAAGTTGTACCATTTCATTCTTGCTTTGTGTCTTCCTTTTATTCTTTCCAGTTTTGCTAAGAATTTCTCCAAAGAACGATTTTGTGTGTGTGTGTGTGTGTGTGTGTGTGTGTGTGTGTGTGTGTGTGTCACTGGTTATAGGTTTCATTCACAACCATAGACTTAAGTCTGCAATCCAGCTAGACTTGGAGGGAATGAAGAAACTGTGGAACCCAAAGAACTGCAGTGAGAGCAGAGATTATGAGGTATTGTGAGCAAATGGGGTGGAGCATTCTCCCGAGCCACAGGATGAACAGCCTGGTGGGTACGGTACACTCAAGTTGAAAGCATTAGAGCTGACCAGATGGCAATGTGATCTTGATGGTTTCACTGTTCTTGAACCCAAACTGCTCCAAGGCTTCCAGAATGTTCATGCTTTCTTTGATTTTTCCAAAGACTGGTTTTGCCACCCAGTCACTTGGTTTTGGTGTGCAGATGAAAAACTGGGAACCATTTGGACACAGTGCAGTATTTGCCACGGACAATGTGCCAGGACCTGTGTTCTCAGGATTAAGTCCTCATTCTCTGATCCCTCCAGTACATCAATCCTGCAAAACTTCTCCAGTGCTCAGGGTGTTCCACTGTCTTTGGCTCCAAGCGCTGGCCATATCAAGGAGCAAGAAGAACACAGTGGCCTGACCATGGTTGTGGGCAAGTGGCCACAGGGGACAGGGTCTGCAAAGTCTTGTTTCAGGGATTTTTCTTTAGTTTTCAACTTTACTGTCTTCTGCTCTTATCTTTACTATTTTTCCTTTGTACTTTATTTAAATTTATTTTCTTTTATTTTTAAAATCAAATTATGAGATAGAATCTAGGTTACTTTGTCTATTATTTAACTTTTTTTTTTTGTTTTAAAAGCCAGGTGTGGTAGTACACAACTTCAATCACAACAAAAGCAGGTGGGTCTCTGTGAGTTCAAGGTCAGCTTGGACTATAAACTGAGTTCTAGGCCATCCAGAGATCCTGTCTAAACAAACAAAAAACCAACACAAAGCTTCCCATTTAGTGCTGTATTTGCACAGTGCTGGCAACCGGACACCAGGCCTTGTGTAGGCCAGGCAGTACTCTACCAGATGAGTTACATCTTCAGTCCTTAGACCTCCATGTCATGTGGTTATTTCCTGTGTTCTTCTTGACCCCATCCACTTCACTTTGCTATGGGTGCACAGCTCTGGTATTCTGTCTTCATTTGTTTATATATGAATTGGATCTGAAAGCTGTGGCCAAGTAGTTCAAAGTTTAGCAGGAAAGAGGTGTGGTGACTGCATGTTTATACCCAAACAGAGATACTCGGGAGCTTAAATCATCTGCCAAAGTACTTCAACATGGGACAGCTTTTAAAAAGGAAGGCTGGGGCTGGAGAGATGGCTCAGAGGTTAAGAGCACTGGCTGCTCTTCCAAAGGTCCTGAGTTTAATTCCCAGCAACCACATGGTGGCTCACAACCATCTGTAATGTGATCTGGTGCCCTCTTCTGACCTGCAGGGATACGTGCAGATGGAACACTGTATACATAATAAATAAATAAATTAAAAAAAAAAAAATAAAAAGGAAGGCTCAACCAGCAGTAAGTCTTTACTTAGTATGGGTTAAAATGTTGCCAGGCTCATCTCTAAACATTTACAGCCACACAATTCTTGTGGTGTGAGCAGATGCTCTTTTCCACTGAAGATCAACACGCTTCTCTGAGAATTTCACAGTACAACTGGCCCTCTGAATGTGGGTTCCACATTCGCATTTCAACATTTAAAAATAAAAACCCTGTGTCTGTATTAAGCATGTGCCGATTTATTTTTTGTCATTAGTCCCTAAATAATATAGTTTATCAACTACTTATACATTTTTCTTATGGTTTCAATGTGAACTATTCCCTATAGACTCACGTTTGTTGGTTTTTGAGTCAGGGTCTCATGTATCTCAGGCTAGCCTCCAACATACAAATCCATTTGTCTCAGCCTCTTTACGCACTGGCATTACAGGCATGAGTCATGTAGCACACTGGGCTTTCTGCAGTGCTAGAGACTGAATGCATGCTACATTCCAGGGTCCAATGCATGCTGCACAAGCACCCAACCAGTCCTTGATCCCCAGCTAGTGTGGCACTGCTCTGGAAGGTTGTGGAATCTTCCGGATGTGTCCAGACCATGGCATGTGGGCTACATTAGCTATGAATGTGACCTGATACAAAAACCACAAACTTAATTCAACACTAGATTTTTTTTTTTGAGAACCCCTGATCTTTGACATAAGTTAGTAACTTATTCAAATAAGACTCACTGTGAGGCCAAGAAAACTATTATAGAAGTTTCCAAGTTGAATTTATGAAAACAACAATGCAGCCAATTTTTGGTAATACATAATTCTCCATATATTCATTATATTAGAGATGAAATGAAATTTAAAGGACCATCGAGTAGCGATATTTTCAAAGTTATCAACCATTTTCATTGAATGTAGGCTTATTCAAATTTCATACTGGAGAGCTGGTTCAGTGGTTGGAAGGACTGGCTGCTCTTCCAGAGGACAAAGGTCCAGTTCCCACATGGCAGCTCACAACTGCCTGAATTCAGTCCCAGGGGATCTGACACACACACACACACACACACACGAAAAACAAACCACAACCAATGCACATAAAATAATTAAGTCATTAAAAAAAATCATATTAAAGGAGGCAGAGGCAGGCGGATCTCTGTGAACTCAAGGACAGCCTGGTCTACAAAGCAAGTTCCAGGGCAGCCAGAGCTACACAAGAGAAACCCTGTCTCGAAAAATCAAATCAAAACAAAATAAAACAAAACAAATCATATTAAAGTTCAACAACAAAACAAAATACCAAGGGTTTACACTGGAGCCTTTTTTTTTTTTTTTTAAATGTTTACTTTCTTTATTGACCACATTTGTTCCTGGTGGATCCCCTGGAACTGGAGTCATCTAACTATCTAGTTGTGAGCCACTGTGTAGGTGCTAAGAACTAACTGGGGTCTTCTACAAAAGCAACCAGTGCTCTAACCACTGAGTCATCTCTCCAGTCTGTCCCCTAGATCATGAACTGTTTCACGTATGTGTTGAATGAAGATCTTTTGGAAAACAATACCTATAGTGTATGTAATCATTTTAGCATCCTAGAATCTATTAATGCACTTCTGACTATGTTAAACTGCAGATACAATTACAGGCTCTCCTACAAGTACTTGCAGAACCAAGGAGGTTAATGCATCAGTACTTGGGGATCTGTTATCTCACAAAATTTATTATAACCAAGGCTTCTCCTTGTTTATTTCACTGGGATCCCAATAAACACACAGCTTTCTGGGAGCAAAGAGTAATGTCCACTGTTATACTCAACTGGGTATAGCGTATTTTGCCTGGAAATTAGAACCAAATTTTGTGACTACAATATAGCTTACATGTTATGCCATTTCATGATTAATACTAGATGCTTCTGAGGAAACTAACCTTTGACCCGGACGTCACTGTACCTCTGAAAGTGGTGGTAAGCAGCTTTCCAGGGGTTCCGATAGTGACGAAGCAAAGTGATGGGAGGTCTTGGTCGCACTGGGACATATCTCACACCTTCTTCATCTAGTCAAATGAGAAAACAAGAGGACATTAAATGGTGTATTATATAAATGATTTTAATCATCCTCAAAGCTCAGTTCCAGGAGGTAAGGATGCAAGTGAGACTGACGCTCTGAGACAGACCTGGTTTAGGTGGTGAGAGCAGGAGACAGTCAGCCGAAGTGGTCTTACCAATATACTCTTTGGGAGGCGACTTTCGTTTCTCAGCCTTCACCAACAGACTTTTGGCAGTGGACTTCTCATCATCAGTGCTGTTTGTCTCCATCATATCCCCTTCTTCTGTTGAGATCACGTGCTGCTGCTTCCGAGGCTTTTTCCTTGGGGAGGCACCAGGTGGTAGGTCACTTGTAGGCATGGACAGGTTGCTTGCCAGCAGAGCAAGGGATGGAGACACAGTGTTGGTACCCAGAGGAGGGACCGCTGTCGGGGTGGAGCACACACATCATCAGCACCAAACCCTGGAGGGCTTCACTCAGTTTCCAGAGTAACAACTGGGAAGACAGCTGGCTGGCTAACAAGTACAGAGGTTTCTCATGGGCCTGACAGTATGTAGAATACTCTGGAGGCAGGAGCTGTGAACTGCTTCCTACACCCCTCCAGACACTGTATGCAGATAAAATGTCTTGAGAGTAAGAAAGTTAACATTAGTCTCAACTAGTGTGGATCATATGGTTAGGGCTTGCCAACCACACAGGTTCACCCGAATTTTCAATTTCATTCTGTCAGCCATGAACATGTTTCCTGTAGCCAACCTGGTACTCACTTCTAACAGCCATATCCTATACCACTGTCACTAAAAACAGCAAACTGCCTCACAATCAACACTAAATCTCCAGGAATTGCCACTGAGTAGTAGCTTCCAGTAAGCCTTGGATCTCATGAGGAACTACTGCCCACTTGTCCTCCCATGAGTGTTTTTTTTTTTTTTTAGACAAAGTTTCTCTGTATAACAGCTCTGGCTGTCCTAGAACTCGCTCTGTACACCAGGCTGGCCTCAAACTCAGAGATCCACCTGCCCTCTGCCTCCCGAGTGCTGGGATTAAAGGCCTGCGCCACCACTGCCCAGTTAAAGATCCCAACATTTTATTTCCCTATGACCATACATTTTCTCTTATTCTTCTAACAAAGGCTGATTGCTTCAGTCATTTCTGATGCACTGTTGGTTGGAGAGGCCCTCTCCGCCCAGACCAAAAGACCTTAAGAAGTGATTTCCTAGAATAAAACCCTTAGATTTTCCACAGCCTCAAGTAGATCGTCAGAACAAAGTCATTTATACCTGCAAACTATTAAAAGACAATTTTTTTTTCATTTTTCTTTTCTTTTTTCTTTTTTGTTTGACTTTTCAAGACAGGGTTTCTCTGTGTAGCTTTGGAGCCTTTCCTGGAACTCACTCTGTAGACCAGGCTGGCCTAGAACTCACAGAGTTCAGCCTGCCTCTGCCTCCCCAGTGCTGGGATTAAAGGTGTATGCCACCACCGCCTGGCCTGGATTCCTTCTTAAAACCGTTCTTTGGTGTTTTTCCACAATCCATTCATTCATTCTTTCTCTCTTCATATAACACACATATACATAATATATAAAAATAAAACTGTATACACACACATATACATACAGGACAACTATATATAACTACACATGCATATATATATATATATATATGTTTATAGATATATACATATATATATATGTTTATAGATAAAATTAAAAAACAAACACCAGAGTCTTATGCTGGGCAGTGATGGCACCTGCCTTTAATCCTGGCACTTGGGAGGCAGAGGCAGGCAGATCCCTGAACTGGAGGCCAGTCTGGTCTACAAAGCTGGTTCCAGGACAGCCAAGGCTACACAAACCCTATCTCAAAAAACCAAACCAAACCAAATAAAAAACAAAACAAAACAAACAAACAAACAAAAAGCACCAAAGTTTACCATGTAGCACTGGCTGGCTAGTTAAGTTACTATATAGACCAGGCTAGCTCAAATTCAGAGGCCTTTGCTTCCTGAGTGCTGGGATTAAGGGTGTCTCCACTGTCTTAAGCTTTAGTGATTTAGATAATTATTAACATCACTGTTCTCAAGACTCTCAAGACTCATGATTGAAGAGCTTTGTTCTATCTTATCCCGGTTAATGGTAGGATTAGCCACAGCAATCGGCCATACTGTTGATGTGGTTAGATGTTCACATTAGTACTGAAAGGCCCTCCATTCTCCAAGTTGAAGACCTTCTCATCTATCTCTTAGATCAGACAGGTTGAGATTTTCCTCTGGATAGGTTTGGTCTGTGTCCCTCCCTGTTCATCAGCAAAGACATTATAGAGAATGGCCTTTTGCAGAGAATGGTGTCAAGCCTGAGTTCAAGGGTAGCCTCAGTTACACAGTGAGTTCCAGGACAGCCAGAGTTACACAGTAAGATCTTCTCTCTAAAAAACAAGCCGGGGTGGTGGTGCACGCCTTTAATCCCAGCAGTCAGGAGGCAGAGGCAGGTGGATCTGTGAGTTCCAGGCCAGCCTGGGCTACAGAGTGAGATCCAGGACAGACTCCAAAGCTACACAGAGAAACCCTGTCTCGAAGGAAAACAAAAACAAAACAAAACAAAACAAACAAACAAACAAAAACCCCACCAAATCAAACCAAACCAAACCTAGTTTAACTTTCTAGATTAAGGGTTTTTACCTATTAGCTGTATCCCCCATCTAAGGCACACCAGGAACTAACTATGATCATTCAGGTTCCTTAGCAACCTTCTGACATAACTTTGGCTTTGAAGTCATACATATAAAATTATGGTAAAGTCACTCAAGCATGACACTCTCTTCAGAATCGCACACCCAAATCATGGTGCATACAACACTTTTATCCCTCTATTAATCTGATATTTAAGACTATGTTAAAATCTTTTAATAAACTCCAATACTGTTTCATACAAAAAAAAGTTTTGTTACAAATCTGAAGGCAAAAAAAAAAAAAAAAAAAAAAAGCCTAAGGCCTACAGAAAAATGTGTCAGCATCTCAGGAATCACCCAGCCCCACCCATGGCAGGCTCCAAAATATAAACTCATTGAAAGTTCGATTCACCCCCAGGCATCCAGGCATTTTGAGGCTCCCATAACCATAGCCCAACTAGTCACTGTGGTAGCTATTCTACTAAAGAATGTATTTTGTCTCCCAACCCTGCCCTGCCTCTCTGCTTCATGGCCAAGGAATTCAACCATTTCCTCCACTACATCTTCCTGTCTTAATTTACTGCCCCATCAAAAGCACAAAGAAATGAGTCCAAGTAACCTCATATATCACTTCATCAAAAACACACAACTGGCCAGGCGGTGGTGGCGCACGGCTTTAATCCCAGCACTCGGAGGCAGAGCCAGGCGGATCTTTGTGAGTTCAAGGCCAGCCTGGTCTACAGAGCGAGATCCAGGAAAGGCTCAAAGCTACACAGAGAAACCCTGGCTCGAAAAACCAAAAACCAAACCAAACCAAAACAAAACCCCACACAACTTAGGTTGAAGGAATGGCTCACTGGGCGAGCGCTTGCCTATCACATACATGCCTGGCCCTGAAGCTAACTTTTAGCCCCACAAACCCCCAACCTTCCTCCTTGACATCACTCCTTTACTTACTGAAGTGCCCAAAGTAACTCCATTTTGTCCTAGTTTAGCTAACTCCATCTCATGCTCCACCCAACTGTCCCCAAGGCCCTGCTAAGCACACCTTTCCGAGCAGCACACTCGTTCAGCTTCTGGAGCTCCAGTTTTACAAGAAACAAACTCTTCTAATCAACTCAACAGACACTTTTGAAACTTCTGTTTCAAACCCTTGCCTGCTCCTGGTGTGGTATAATTGTTGTTTCTGGCTTTATAAATCCTATCCTGCCTTTCCTAGAGTCCTTCTTGGCATTAGCCTGCTCTCGGAGCAAATAAAGCTCCTAATTTGGCCGGGCGGTGGTGGCACACGCCTTTAATCCCAGCACTTGGGAAGCAGAGGCAGGTGGATCTCTGTGAGTTCGAGGCCAGCCTGGTTTCCAAAGCGAGTTCCAGGAAAGGCGCAAAGCTACACAGAGAAACCCTGTCTCGAAAAATCAAAAAAAAAAAAAAAAAAGCTCCTAATCTGACCTTCACTGAGTGGCATTCTCTGTCTCCAGCAGGAACAATACTTGGAGGTTCCAGTGAGATTTCTACCCCTCAGGGGCTCAGGCTTGCTCTGGGTCTCTCCAGATCGGTAGGTTGTTGCATTTGAGGTGCTTCCTGAGACATTCTGGGCCCCAATGACTCTCACAGCGGGGTCACAGTCCTGGAAAGACTGCTGTGTTTCCCGATACCAAATCTGACTGAGTCCTTATTTTCCTCCCAGGAGTGAGGTTTTAATATTCTTGTCTGGCCACCATAGGAGCTGCAGTGTAGACAGGAGGGGGTCAGTCCTTCCCTCCTTTACCCAAGCTGAGACCCCAGGTGCCCCGCCAGCCTTACCAACGGGTGAGTTCGGGTCCCCACCTCAGAGTGGCCAAGGGGTGTGCTGGAGTGTCCTTCACCTGCACCGCTTGGGTGGGAGACTGGTGACAGGAGCCATGCTGGTTCTTCCTACTAAATTCCAAGCCTGCCTCCTCTAACTGAGACAGGTCATTCTTTCTGTTCTTGGGGTCACATGCCCTGTGCCTGTGGTTTGCCTTTGCCTCTGTCCCACCAAGCCTAAATACTCTTGCCTTTGTTTACAAAGTAAATAAATAACCACACTTTAGACCTAAGCACGAAGGTCTCAAAGTTTCCTGCAAAGCCCATCCTAGGTCAGGCAGGCCCCTGTCTGTGAGAGGGAGAACAGAAGAGCCCAGGAAGAAGGCACTGTGCACTGAGAACAATTAAGAGGTAAACTATTTCCAGCAGTGGCTACTCTTAGTTATCTTATGGTATAAAGGTATTTATAATTAAAATAACTAATGAGATGCTCATACATGAAAAGGATATAAGGGCCCCTCTGTCTGAAACCTCTCAATAATAACTCCATCATCACAGCCTGCTAAATTCTGTTCGATGCTGTAAATATCAATTTAGTGCTAATTATAATAAATAACTCTACACACTACAGACATCATAAATACCGTCTTATGCTTCCTGTAAGTTTTACCCAGAAACTTACAAGACCTAATGGTTGAACAGTATGTACACAGCTAATATTAAGCAGAGCCAACTGCCATCTTTGTGACTCCAGCTATGCCTGCTTGAAACGCTCACAACTGGGTCTGCTAAATGCTAATATTCTTTCAGGAAAGCAGGCAAGGACAGGCAAGCTCACTGGGCGGTAACTTGAGTATCCAAGTACCCCTCCCAAGTAGTTGTATGCAGTTAACTGTATGAGGTCTCAAGACTTTCTGTAGAAATTAGTGTATACAGGCTAGAAAAATTAAGACCTGGGATAAGGGGCCAGGGG